GATGATGACAGGGAATCCCTAACTTCTGACATAGTCATTGACTGATGCATGTACTGAGTGCTGGATGTGTGCCCAGCCCTAGGCTGGGGCCTCACATATAATCTCACAAGCAGAGGGTCCCTCACCAACAAGACAGCAGAAGCTTGGAGAAGGCACACCACCATGAAGTGATGGGGCTGGGATTGAAACTCAGGGCTGATCCCGGAGCCTGTACTCCTTCCAGTAAGCCATGCTGCCTCCAAAAACATCCTGTGTGTCCAAGTGGGGCAGGAGACCACACCTTTACTTTGAGGTCAGAATGCAAGCCTAGAACCTTCAATCTTCTCTGCTCCCACAGGGCTCTAAGATGGGGAGAGGATGCAGGTGAGTGGACAGCTGATATACCATCTGTAAAGCAAGAGGTTGGCTGGCTGCCTGGAGAGCTAGAGAGGAGACTTGGGCACAGAGTGGGAGGTCTCCCTGCTGGCAGTCTGCCAGGCCTCAGAGACAGCATCAGGAGAGGCCTCCAGAGAGCTGCCCCCCAGTTCTGTGGCACTTTGAATGACCCAGGTGGTATCGAGGCATTAACTTGAATATAGGTGACCTGGTGACCTCATGCTGAAACTCTTCTAAGCCCAGTAAAGAAAAGCACCACAAAATGAAGGTGGTGGCTGTAGGCCAGGTGGTAACCAGTTCCATTTTCTTGCCAGCCTTACAGAGAGATCTTTGAGTTTTTCATAGAGGACTTCAAAACATACAAGCCATTACTGTCCTCCATCAAGAATGCATACGAGTTGATGTTAGGTAAGAATGCAGCTCCCCTCCTAGGCCCAGCCTGGAAGGAGCTGAGAGGATCTTATTCTGACCTTCTAGGGGTCTACAGCAGGGCTGGGGCAGCTACCAACTGGGCCTTGAGGTCACCAAGCTCAACTCAGCCTTTTTTGCACACACTGTTCTGTGATAGGGCCCCCCAGAGTACCCGACAACCTCCCATCCTTGAGAAGCATGGTAGGGCAGTATCTGTAGGAAATAGAGTGAACCCCATGAGAGAGTGAGTGCTCAGGAGGTACAGAGATGGTGCAATTGCAAGACTAAAGACTGTAGGGGAGCCCCCAGTCTTCATCTGAACTCTCTCTTATTTAAAAGCAAGTGCAGGAAGGCCTAAAGCAAGGGTCATGGCTTTGAAGGAGGCGTGCATAGATTCCTGGAGTTTGCAAGTGAGTGACTAGCCACTCATCCATGACCTTTGGGTCTGTTTCCTGGCTGTTGTCCTGGGGCTCTAAAGGAGCTCTCCCACCTGTCTCTGCTTAGCCCACCAAAGGGAGAGGATTCGGGCTCTGGAGCCTCTGAAGGCCAAACTTGTCACTGTGAATGAGGACTGCAATGAGAGGATCCTAGCCATGAGGGCTGAGGAGAGATATGAGATTTCCATACTCAAGAAAGAAAAGATGAATTTGCTAAAACTCATCGACAAAAAGAATGAGGAGAAGATCTCATTGCAGAGTGAGGTGAATGGAAGTGGTGTGGTGACCAAGTCCCTGAATTCCTGCCCCACCACCACCACCAGGGTGACCCCCAGGCCACTCCACCCTCTGCTGGAATGACACACTGAGCCACCATCTCTCCTCAGAGCCCCAGCTACCTCTATCCTCTGCCTTTATGCTTGGCTCAGCCCTGGCTCTGTGTGGCCTGAGTGACAGCACTTGCCCTGCAGGAGGAAGCATTGGCATCTTGCTGGGTTCTCTGGGATGGCCAATCTCCTTCTTCCTCCACCTTTCCTGTTCCTGGGCCCTGATGGGGCTACCCAGCACCCATGCATGCCCTGTGGTGACTAGCTGCATACAGGGGTCCAAAGGTAGCCCCTAACAACACAGCCACCTGCCCAACAGGTGAGCAAACTGAAGAAGAACTTGGCTGAGGAGTACCTGCACTACCTCAGTGAGCGAGATGCCCGCAAGATCCTTGTCGCAGACCTGAATGAGCTGCGGTACCAGCGGGAGGACATGTCATTAGCCCAGTCCCCAGGTAAGCCCAAGACGGGTTTCTCTCCTCCTCAGAGGTTTTGGAGAGAAGTCTTGCTCTGACCACTCACCATCATTCATTCAACATTCCTGATACCTGCTCATTGTATGCCCATTCATGGTGGAGATGTTCCTTCTACCACCTGGGGCTGCAGATCTTCTGAGCTGGACTGGGAATTGTAAGAAGGTTGCTGGCAGCTGAGGCAGCCTGGATTCCCTGTGGGATGAACAGGCCTGGTACCCCTTGTCCTGGGTTTCTTTTCTTAAACCTGAAACCCTAGGCTTAAGCAGATCCAGGGAATCCCGAGCAGGGATGGCAGAGGACCTCAGGCATCCCCTGAGGGATACACAACCCAGTCCTGGGCTCTAGGCCCCAGAGCCAGGGTGATGTTGGCTGATGGGGTCCTGGCAGGCATCTGGGGGGAGGACCCCGTGAAGTTAACACTGGCTCTGAAGATGGCCCGGCAAGACCTGACCCAGACGCAGATGGAACTCAACACCATGAAGGCCAACTTTGGAGACGTGGTACCCAGGAGGGACTTTGAAATGCAGGAGAAGATCAACAGGGATCTTCAGGAGCAGGTGCTGGTGGGCAGGCAGGGCCAGGTAGGGTAAAGCAGGGTCATGCAGGTGGGCAGCTAGGACCAATCACCTTGCCCTCAGCTGGACAGCCTGAGAGCTGACTATGAAGAGGTCCGCAAGGAGCATGAGTTGTTGCTGCAGTTGCACATGAACACGCTGAAGGAACGGGACCAGTTCTTTTCTGAGCTGCAGGAGATCCAGCGCACCTCTACCCCACGGCCCGACTGGACCAAGTGTGAAGGTAATGATGGCCGTTGGGACTCCAGGGCCTGCTCAAGTACATGAGCCTGTACAGGTACAGGGCCTGCTCAGGTACGACTCCAGTTCCCTCTCCCCACCTACAGATGTGGTGGCTGGGGGCCCAGAGCGCTGGCAAATATTGGCTGAGGGCAAGAACAGTGACCAGCTGGTGGATGTACTCCTGGAGGAGATTGGCGAAGGGCTGCTCCGAGAAAAAGACTTCTTCCCTGGTCTGGTAGGGGAGTTCCCAGGAGGGAGACTGAGGGCCGGAGTCAGAACAGCCCTGCATTGCTACTAGAGACTTGAGCTTCTCAGGGAACCATATGGGGTCTTCCCTGCTTGGGGCTGAGGCCACAGATAGGCCCAGAGATGAGCTAACACCCTTCCTTCTAGGGCTACGGGGAATCTATCCCCCCCTTCCTTCGGTTTGAAGGCCTTGTAGAGAACAAGAAGCCAACCAAGAAGGATGTGGTAAACCTTCTCAAGGATGCCTGGAAGGAACGTCTCACAGAAGAACAGGTCAGATCTCACAAGCCATGTTGGCCTAGTGTGGCCTTTCAGATCCAGAGTCCTCCAGGGGGTCCCCTCGAGGTAAAAGGGAGGAGGGAAGAGGGCCAACTGACGCTAGGGCAGGCTGACCAAGCATTCTCATCCTACAGAAGGAGAGGTTCTCAGATTTCTTCTTTAATTTCCTGGAGCATCGCTTTGGGCCCAGTGATGCCATGGCCTGGGCTTATACCATTTTTGAAAATATCAAGCTCTTCCACTCCAGTGACATCATGAGTCAGTTCTATGCAGTCTTGATGGGAAAGGTGAGCTTGGGCCTGTCCCCGTGTTCCCCTCGGGGAGACAGACAGGAGCCTGTATCCCCAGCATAGCCCGGCTCTGCCCCACCACTCCAGGAAGCAGCAAGTTAGTGAATGCTTCTTCCTTCCCTGTAGAGAAGTGAGAGTGTGTATGTCAACCAGAAGGAGATAGTAGCCCAGCTGCTGAAGGAAATGATAAATGCTGACAGTCAAAACGAGGGGATGATAACCATGGAGCAGTTCAGGTGAGAGGCCAGTCCAGGCCATCCTGAACTCCTGCCCAACGTATCTGGCCAGGCTCCCAGGTGTGCAGGGAAAAGGGGAGACTGGCAGGAAGGGCCACAGCCTCAACACTCACTGTCCTTTTGAACAAATGGGAGGTGAGTGGTCAGGCTTCAGCAGGTCCCTGTTGGCCCTCATGTCTCCCCACAGCATAATCCTCAAGAGTACCTTCCCCTTCAAGAAGGAAGAGAAAATTCTGGAGCTGATGGAGGCAGGGGGCTGGCATCCTAACAGCAACACTACAGACCTCCTCACCTACCGCGCATTGTTTCTGGAGGTGGGTGGGTGGGTCCTAGCCCCTACACTAGCCTTGGCTGGACCCTAGCCAATGTGCTCTCACCCTGACTTATGGTCCCTCCCAGGACGAAGAAGGCCGGAATGAGCCCTTTGTGCAAAGGCTGTGGGAACAGTATGTGGAAGAGAAGGATGAGTACTTACAGGAGCTAAAGCAGGAGCTAGGCATTGAATTGTGAGTGACCTTGGGGCCCTCAGGCCAATTCGTCCATAGCGAGTCACCAGTCACCCCTTAATCCTTGCACTGAGGACACAGGGTGGCACCTCAAGCCCCTGGGTCTCCCTGTGCACTGAGCATGCTGCTGTGTACCATCTGCTCAAGCCTGGCAGAAAGGAGGGCACCTGGGAGTCTGGAGCACATGGAAGAGATGTCATGGCCTCTCTTTTCTTATGGGACAGCTACAGTGAGGTGACTCTACCCAGGCTACGTGGGGCCCTGATGAGCATCGACCCCAGCCTGGACAAGCAGACTCTGAATACCTATATCAGCCAGGCCTTCCAGTGCCCTGTGTCAGAACTGCCAGAGGAGGGTGATGGGAAGGAAGACAGCATGGTGGTACAGCTCCGGGTTGCCCTGGAACGGCTTCAGGTGATTGACATAAGGCGCAAGGGGCCAAGAGAGCAAGAGCCTGCAAGCTAGGACCACTGTGGGAAGCCTGAGTGTACAGTACTGCTACCCCCTGATTTTAGTATAAAATTGTTTTTTTTGAACCCATGCCATTCTCCAGGCTATGCTGGGGAGTTGTGGGGAGGGGGATAAGTCCCTGCCTGGCTGGCCCCAAGACATGCACCAATATTCTGTGTGTAACACTTTATTGATGCTGGGGGATGGTGAAAAGACCTGGAATAGTAAGTGGTATCAAGGGGCCCCAGGTGGGGGCAGGGCAAGTGTTGAGGCTTGGCCACTACTGGGCAGGGAAGACAGAGTTGCCACTGAATGCACAGGGGATGAGCAGCTGCCGGTACTCCAGGGGCAGGTTCCTTTCCACAAGCACATGCAGTGAGACTTGGTCGGTGACCAGGCCCTGCCTGCAGCAGAGGAAGAGAAGGGACAGACGGAATCAGCACCAGCACTCTCACACCCAGCACCTCCCCCTTCCACCCTCTCACCGTCGCATCAATAGCTCCAGGTCCTCTGGCTTTATAGTCCTGCGACCAGCATGGGCAGCAAATGCCTCCAGGTCGTCACAAAGATGCCGGAAATACTTATCTAGGCTGCCAAGAAGGTTGGGATAGAGCAGACTCAACAGTCTGTTCATGACCTGTGGGGCTCCTCTCCCCACACTGAGTGTCCAGGACTCACCATTTCTCCACTATCTCAAGAGCCTTCTTCTCCATGGGCATCTTAGCATAGAAGCTAAAGAGTTTTGCATAGTGGCTCAGTCCGGTCTTGTAGGGATCTTGGCGGGGCCTGGGGCCAATGGCTCGGGGCCTAGGGTGAAGCCTGGCTGACACAGGCTCCAGAGGCTCTGAAGACAAGCTGAGGGCAAGAGTGGACAGAAGTAGCTGAACTATACTGCCCGAAGGCTCCTGCTGAGCCCTGGACCAGCAGCTCCAGCCACGTACTGATGAGGGGCATAGTCAACCCAATGTCCTACTCTAGTCTCATCATGTATGCTGGTATTTGCTTAGGTCCGTGATTCCTGGCCTCAGAATGAACATTCTCTCCCCTTAGTCTACTGCAGCCTGTCCTGATTCTGCTAATCCTCCTCCAAGAAGACTTCTCTGACTACATACTGACCAAGGCACTTCCCCCTTGCCCAGGTTCCTCTAAGCCCCTGGAGGCAGGCACCAGGATGACAGATGTACACTCAGTGAGCCCTCCTCAGCCCAGCTCAGGTTGCTCTGCTGGGTAATCTGCATACCTTTGGATGCAGGGGATGACCCTGTGTACACGGGATGCCCAATGCCAACCTCACTGCCTGCCCCCTTTCCAAGAAGCCCATGAGGAACGGGGTTATGGGATCTTACATTGCAGCACCAGGCGGCGGGGCTGGCTCAAGAAGCTGATGAAGTTGCTTGGGCTGAAGAAACTCTGGGGTGCTGGAGACCAACTCTGGGCTTGCTGCAGAGGAAGGGCAGGGTCACAGGTGGCTCAGGGCTGACCATCTCACCTAGTCATGCAGGTCCAGTCTCCTTGTCCTGTTTCTCAAGGGTCCCACCTAGCTCCAGCCAAGCAGGTGCTCCTCAGAGTCTCCCTGGCCCCCTAATACCCCAGTGCCCAGAAACACCACCCAGGCAAGCCCCTTCTATGTGCCAGGGCCTGAACACAGCTGTCACCAGTCACTCCCTGGTCCCTGCAGGTGTCTTACCTGTCCTACCAGAGGTTTCCTCATCCTCTGATGACCCTTCTGGCTCCTCAGTTTCAACAGCCCCCAGGGATCCCTCTGCTTCTGTCACTTCCATGTATCCCTCAGGCTCTTCTACCCCCGAAGGTCCTCGTGCTCCTGTCGCCTCCTTCACTTCACTCAAGCTCAAGCCTTTTTCTTCTTCTTCCATCCTTTTCTCTGCCTCCTCACCAACTCCATCTTGTAAAGGCTCTACTCCAGGTCCAGAGATACTACTGCTGGTGTTCGGGAAGCCCAGAGCAAGGGCATTGACCTCCTCTGCCTTTCCTGCCAGAAACTGAGCTGGCTTCCCAGGGCCTGCATGAGGGGAGACAATACAGGCTGCAGAAGCAGCAGGTCAAGCTCTGGGAAGGGTAAAGATGGATTAGCAAACCCGGCCCTGCCCACTGAGGAGAAAAAGCCAGAAGCCGCACCAGGACATGAATTTGGAGTCTCCTGACCTAACATGGACTCTGCTCTCAGACGAGGGACCCACAGCCAGGAGGCTCTGGGGACACATATATGGACTTGAGGAAGAAAAACCATCACTGCCAGTGCTTGCCCAAGTTAACTAAGCTCCAGACCACCTGCTCCACATACTCACTGCTGTTCCGTGGTGCAGGCCCACTGCTCCGTGTCTTGCGACTGGTAGCCCTCTCAGTGTCTTTGGCCCTCATGTGAGAGGGGAGGGGCAGGGAGAGACGCATACCAGGGGAGCGGCCAACCAAGGGCTGGGAGAAGGGCTGGGTCTCCTCCAACACAATGTCTGTCGGCAGAGTAATAACAGGGCTTCTTTGGATGTCACCTAGAGATCAAGGGCCAGCTGGCACTCAGTACATTCCAGTTCCCCCTGCTGGCAGTTACCAGGACCTAGACAGTGGGCCCCGTGGCCTTCAGAGAGAGAAGACGACCTAGCACTCTAAGCTTTATCTCTCTTCCACAGCTCTCCTTGCTTACCTTACTGTTCCTTAGCCTGGCACTCCTAGGCCTCCACAGCTGCCCACCCCACCACCCAACTGTTCACTCATGCCTCTGCTCTCTACTTCTCACTCTGTTCCTTCTGCCCAGAAACTCCTCTTATCCTGGTGAGCTTGACTTGTCTTCTGCAATCAGGCTCCCAGGTCAGCTTTCATTGGCCAGCTGACCCTGAAACCTGGTTCCTTTCAACCTCCAATAATCTTAAGCCACCATAACATATCCCTTTCCTACCTTCAGCCCTATAGCTGCTCAAGGATATGGGTCCTTGAAGATACTAAGGGATAAAAACTGGGCCCCACCAAGGCAAGGGGCACCTTGTGGAAAGAAAGCAGAAACTCCTGTAGATCTACTGACCAGGCTTGCTCACTGTTCTTGACCCCACCAACAGGGAAGCAACCCTGACTTGGCAGAACCTCCTATCTGTCATAGCAGCAAGCTTTCCCCAAAGACTGGAAGGGGAAAATCTCAACCTTACTTGGAGAAGCCAAGGAAGTATCACGCAGATCCTGCAAAAAGGCACCCAGATCTACGGCTCGGCGAGTGGCAGGTCTGCGGGCCAAACCAGGCCTCTGCACTGACTGTGGCTGAAGAGGTGTAGCAAAGGTCAGGTTGAGGGAGCTGGTGAGAAGGAGGAGGCACAATGGAAAGTCAGGTGCTTGAGGCCCAGTTATCCTCTAGGGTTCCCCCATCTGTGGTGGGACTGTCAATCTCTTAGAACACAGCCAACATGCTGGGGGGCTAAGAGTAGTAAACCTGGCACAGAGTAGTATGACCAGATTCCATCTCAGTCGGCACCTCCCTTCCCAAGCTTCTCCTCCACCAACCCCCAGAACAGGCAACAGCACCTGGCGAGAGATGAGGCATCAGCATTCCCACGAGGCTCTGTCAGTGACCGGTAAGAAAATGTAAAAAGAAGAAACCATGGGAAGTTATCCAGGCCTGTAAGAGCCCTCTCTGGCTCTCCAGAGGACAGAAGGGCAACGGTAGCAACAGGTGGTGTCCAGAGCCTCACCTTGGGAGACAGGCAGCTCTTGGTCCACTCCCTGCTGAAACACCGATAGTCTCAGCCTCTGCTTCCTCCTGCCAGGGGCCAGCAAAGCTGGGACCAGGGTCGTGGGGGGCTCGGGCTCAGGAAGTTGCAGCTCCGGGCTATAAGGATGGAGCTTATCTTAGACAGACCAGGAAGACCAATTCTGACTTCTGAGGCCCCCAAAGGCTTCCCTGACCAAAGCTTCCCAACAGCTCAGTCCAAGGGTGGGGTTCACCATGTACCTGCCCCGACTGCTTTCCCGTCTGGAGGGCGGGACCACTTGCGGCGCTGGCACTGGCTTCACCACTGACTTTGGCTTCAGGATGGAAGATTCTGGGGCTGCAGAAACACCAAGGAGTGTGTGGGGCTGACAAAACAGGCTGCCCTGAATGAGGGATACCATAGGACAGGTTCCTGACCCTGACTGGCAGGCCAGCACCCACTCACCAGTTAGTAGGATGTTCTTCAGCAGAGTCCGAGGTGTCCGTTCCTCCAGGTGCCCACTGGCTTGAGCATGGACCAATCTGCCACTAGACTATGGGCAAAAGCACCAAACAACCAGTCTGTTCATTTGCCTTGAGATTTCCTCAAGGAGGGCTCTAGAGCAGAGCCAGACCTCAGGGCCTCCTCAAGGCAGCCAAGGGCCTGTAGTTCTCAGTGGGCTGGGAACTTACTTTGGTTCCATGGGGATTCCCTCCAGCAGTCATCTTTGTTTGACTTCTCAGCCTCCTGGAGGAAGGTGTTTCGAGCAGGGCTCTCTGGGCACTGTGTAAAGGCCAATGGCTCTGAGAATGTGTGTGTGTGTGGAGGTGACAGAGGAAGCAAAGACGTGCCTTCACCAGGGGTCTTGATCTGAAGCCCTTTTCCATCAGGGCCAGGGACCCAGAAACCACTTGCCCCTCCCACAGCCCCTGTTCCCAGCCCTATGTCAACAGGGGTGTGAATGAAGATGTGCCCTGGGGTATGGGAACATGAGAGAGGGAACATGATTGAACCAGAAGGAGGGTCTGAAGAATCGGGGTCTGGAGGAGATGGAGGGTCTGAGAAAGGCTTCACAGAGATGGCTTTAGCAGAATCATAAGGGATAAGGCTGGGAGTGGCGGCTCACGCCTGTGATCTTAGGACTCTGGGAGTCCTAATATATATATAGAAAATATATAATGTTTTTTTTCTAATATATATAGAAAAAAATTAGCCGGGCATGGTGGTGCATGCCTGTAGTCCCAGCTACTCAGGAGGCTGAGGCAGCAGGATCGCTTGAGCCCAGGAGTTTGAGGTTGGTGTGAGCTAGGCTGATGCCATGGCACTCACTGTAGCCTGGGCAACAAAACGAGACTCTGTCTCAAAAAAAAAAAAAAATCATAAGGGATAAGTAGGGGTTAGCCACACAGACAAAAGGAGCAAGTGGAAGAGTATTCATTCCAGACATTAAAATAACAACCCAAGAAGGATAATTAAGTACTTTTAAACCTTTTAAGAGATTGTCAGGGTTTGACAGCAACCTTACCCCAGCCCTAGTCTCTCCAGTCCAATCCCTCTCAGATTCCAGAGCCACATAAATGTTCCCAGGTAACAGCTCCCACCTCATCACGGGTAAGTCTAAAACCTATACTGAACAGCTGCCCATTCGCTATAAAGGAACTGCATTGTCCCAGTCTGGCAGATGTCAACTTCTGCATCCACTGCACCATAAGCTCACCCACTGCACCATGAGCTCACCCACAGCCCTCACCCACCCACACTCCCATTAAGTCAGGCCAAATTCCCTGCTCCCCAGCAAAGCATCTTTCCAGTTCCTGTCTCTCAAGTTCCACCCAGGCTGTGCTCACTAGCTCCTTTCCCATCTCCCAGCTGGAAGCTGCAGAGACAGTAAGACTGAATGTGCAGGGATGGTGGGGACCTCTCTGACACACCCCAGGCTGGTTTGGGGGAAAGCAGCCTAGAGAACAGAGCGTCAGGTTCTGAGTGCCAGTCCTTCGCCTCCAGAGGCCAACACCCGAAGACTCTGTGGCCCCAAGGCCACAGACAGGGTTGGCGCTGGATCCCACCCAGACGCCACTCCCCCGTCCCTCTAGTTGCTCAAGTACTCGGGCAGCGGCCTCACATACCCAACTCGAGCACTTCGGCGCCGCCGCGGGGTGCGCGGATCCGCAGTATCCAGCACTCGCCGCAGCAGCGTACGCGGCGTAGGCTCCCTGTGGGTGCTGTGGTCCGCCATCGCCTCTGAAGCGACCCTTCCTAACTGCCCAGTCCGCAGCAGGAGCCCCGTTCCCGCCGCCACGTTTAAGGTAACTCTCGCGATATTGCCGCACAGCACCACGGGAATTGTAGTTCTTGCCCTGCCGAAGCTCACGACGTGGACAGTGATGGTTGCATCTAGCTGCTTTGGAGGCAGCCTTGGAGGAGAAGGTGAGCCTGGGCAAACCTATGCAACCAGTCCAAGTCTTGGTTTCCTCATCTGTAAATTGAGGATGATACTTACCTAATAAGGGTCTTGTAATGATTTAAGGAGTTAATGTTTAACTCAGGATCAGATGCATAGTAAGCCAGGGCATCAATAAATAGTCGCTATTATTAGAATGCCTCTCATTTACATCTCCTTCTGTGAAAATGATGAGAGACAGTTTGCCCAGGAAAAAGGATTTTATCCTATATGTGATGTGCTCAGATTTGCATTTGCAAAGATGGCTGTCTTTAGGGTCTGTATTTATCGGAAGAGACCAGGTTGCAGGCTCCAAGGCTAGTAGGCTGTTTGTGATCCAACACAGATGCTATGATCTTAAAACAAGTGCAATTTGGAGATGAATTCCGGCTCTCAAAAGTTCTGTTAATGCTGGAGATGCTTACCATATTATGTTAGTGCTTTCTGTATTTTTCACTGCTTGACAATCCCCCACCTTTCTTTTTCTTTATCTTTTTTGGAAACAGGGTCTTGCTTTGTGGCCCTGGCTGTTGAGTGCAGTGGTATGCATCATAGTTCACTGCAACTCCTGGCCTCAAGCAATCCTCCTGCCTCTGCCTCCCAAATAGCTGGGACTATATTCCCATGCCACCACTCCCACCTAATTAAAATTTTTATTTTTTATAAAGACAAGGGTCTCACTATATTGCCTAGTGTCTTGAACTACTGGCCTCAAGCAATCCTCCCGAAGTGTTGGGATTACAGGCATGAGCCATTTTACCTGGCCATCCCCCACCTTACTTAAATTTTCATGGCAACTAAATTGGAATTTAATTTCTGAGTCTCCTATGGAGTTCTTTTTCCCAGAATCTGCTCCAAGATCATCAGACACTTGAGATAGGCATGGGCATATTTGTGCTTGGGTTAAAAATGGAGCAAAGAAAAAAATTAGATTCTTGCTTTTCAAAATAAGAGAACTGTAGAGGAAAAGCACATCAACATTTCTTGTCATTTAGATCTGATCTCTGTGTTTTATCTGATTTGTTAGCCCTTTGCAGACACATTTCCATGGTCACTATCAGCCACCTAAATGGAGTTTTATTTTTATTTTTATTTTTTTTGAGACAGAGTCTCGCTTTGTTGCTCAGGCTAGAGTGAGTGCCGTGGCGTCAGCCTAGCTCACAGCAACCTCAAACTCCTGGGCTGGAGTGATCCTTCTGCCTCAGCCTCCCGGGTAGCTGGGACTACAGGCATGCACCACCATGCCCGGCTAATTTTTTATATATATATCAGTTGGCCAATTAATTTCTTTCTATTTATAGTAGAGATGGGGTCTCGCTCTTGCTCAGGCTGGTTTTGAACTCCTGACCTCGAGCAATCCGCCCACCTCAGCCTCCCAGAGTGCTAGGATTACAGGCGTGAGCCACCGCGCCCGGCTTGAAGTTTTACTTTTTTAATTTTCTTTTTGAGACATGAAGTTTTAAATTGTTTATTTATTAGTACAACCTTGAACTGAGTGATATGGGGAAAACACAAAACTCTTCCAAAAGAGTTTGAAACAGAAGCTTTGGTCTTTGCACAGTAATATTCTGTGTTTACAGAATTAAACTTTATATTTACTTCTTGTTTAGAAAAAACCCCGAAAACACTGGGGTGAAGTAACAGGAAGGAGTGAGAGAGACTGGCAAGGGCCAGACTTGGGGTCTTGCACACTCTGGGAAAGAGTTTGGATATTATTCTAAATGGAATAGGAAACCACTGGAGGGATTTAAACAGAGGTATGACATAATCAGATTTTCTTTGGCAGCCTTGTGAAGAACAGATTGTAGGTGAAGCAAGATTGGAAGCAAGGAGACACGTGACAAGGTTCTTGTCTTTCTCCGGACTACATGGAGGTGATGAGGTGTCCTCAAACTACGGCCCTGCGGGCCACATGCGGACCGCCTAGCACATTTATCCGGCCCTCCAGGTGTTTTTGCCACTGCTGCCTGTCCTGCTTAGCAGCCAACTTGTCCCCGGCCCACAGTGTGCACTCTCCAATGGTCTGAGGGACAGTGAATTGGCCCCCTGTTTAAAAAGTTTGAGGACCCTTGAGAGGGTGGGCAGGGCAGGAGGAGTGGGGAGAAAGCCATGCAGCCCAGATATGCTTTGAATGTAGAAGATAAATTGTAGATTAGAGGTGATTTTATGTATTGGAAGGCAGAGTTTTATTGAGCACAATCTTCAATGATTTGTGCATAAAGAAAGTATATCAATTTGTTTAGTCAAAGCAGCAGTCTAAAAAAAAAGAAAAGAAAAAAAAATAAAAAATAAAAGAAAGTATATCAATTTGATTTCTCACCAGTTTTTGAGCAAGGTAAGTCTTGAGATAGGTAAGATTTGAACCATGTCAGTGACTGTATGACAATAAAAACACAAGAACAGATACAATGATCTTTTGCTGTATTTTATCTCTACTGCACATATTTTATAAAAATTTAAACATGTAACAAAGTATGCATTCACGTTTGTACTGTTGCTTAAATGATTCATCCAAATGAATGCGTATCTTTTACCGTGGGCTACACACACTAAAAACTGCATTTCTAGATTTCAAGGGGTTCAAGCTGTAGACCTCAGCTGCACAGGCTGGAAGTGGGATTTTCTACCATTATAGGTAGTTGAAACACACACAAATAACCAAGGATCACATTGGTTGTAAACACAATGAAGTGTAACGGTAATGTTGGGTGGTGGGATGAGAAAAAGTTCTCTTTTTCCCATTTTCCTGTATTTTTTAAAAAACATTATCAGCACAGTTCTACTTTATAATAAAGAACAACAAATATTTTTTAAAAAGTACCTGATCTATTTTGTTTTTATATCAAATACTGTAATTAGAAATAATGCATACTAGATTTCCATTTCATGCTTGGGATCTCTTACCAGGAGGGAAAAAAATGAGGAGGGAGAAGAGAAGGCAAGAAAAAGTGAAAGAAATGGGGGAACTCAGTAAAAGACTTTGCAGTTAATTCCCCTGGTGGACCTACTACTTGGTTCCTCCCTGGTTTTCCACAACCTCGGTTGTTCTTTAAAATATTTTCCCCAAAGAAGTCAAGGGAGGCGGAGGTGTCTTGTTACAATGCAAATCCTTTCGCTTAAAACCCCTCAACAGTTCCCAGTCACTTGCAAAATAAAACCCCATATCTTTTAATATGGCCCAGTTCCATATCTTTCTGCCTTTTTGCTACTATGGCCACCCCTTCAAGCTCTTTAAGGGAAGAACCTAGCTCATTCCTGCCTCGGGGCCTTATAAGCTGGGTTCCGCAGCCAGAATTGACTACTTCTCCTTACCCAAGCTTTTCGTTGCTTTGTACTCCTGGGCCTCCCCCTCCCCATTTTCTCCTCTGTCCTGTTCATTGCTTTGGAGCGTTTATTTGTGATTAGGCATCCATTCGCGTGCATTCACATCTATTTTCCCAAAGACATACCCTCATCCCTCTAGGTGGTCAGGTTCCAGAAGGGAAAGACCGGGTGAGTCTGGCTCCCCGAAACTCCATGCACTGCGCACGACACAGAGTAAGGCGCCTACTGGTGACTTTGTTTTAAGTCAATAAATGAGTTAACGCAGGCAGCAGCAGAATCAGGAGACAGTCCCCAAAGCAAAGAAAGGGGTTCCAAAAGCCTTTCATCAGGACTCTGAGGCTTAGGTTTCCTCTCCCTCCCCCCGCAGGAATGCCACCAACTCAAAGGCGCTCTGGGCTGGGGGACCGCTGCGGGCGGACACTGCACAACCTCGCCCGAATTCTGGTCCGCAGTAACTGGATCTCTCCTTTAGGTGGCGTTCGGGGCTGCAGCTACTTATTTCAGCGCGAGGCATCACGGGACTTGTAGTCTCGGTGGCCATAAATACACACAGCGCTTGCGCACTGTCAAGGCGCACACAGCCCCCCCATCAAGATTCCGGGTCTTTGTGAGGGGCAGTCCAGGCAACAGCGTTCCAGCCGCATACACCTCTCTTTGCCCCCGGGGACAAGCCTAATGCGGGGACGAATCTGCTCTGCTGGGGCCATCGTGGTGCTCTGGAAAGCAGCCGGAATAAGCAAACCCCCATTCCGGAAGTGAGCGGCTTTGGGCGCGGTGCATTGTGGGGGGCGTAGTCCTCTTTCCCAGGCGGTCCTTCGCGGCGTCCCCGGGGCCGACTCCGGAGCGCAGGCGGGCATCCGGGCTGGTGGCGCGGCGCGGGCCGGCAGGAAGCGTATTCTGAGCACGGGGCGCCGGGTCGGACCGGCTGCGCAGGGCGGCAGTAGTGGGAGACCGTCCAAGGCCTCGCGCGGCGCCGCCCGTCGAAGGGCGGGCGGCGGGGGACCGACCGGGCCGTCGAAGGGCGCAGGAGGCCGGTGGGCCGGGCCGGGCCTCGCGGCGCAGCCATGCCTGGGTTTACGTGCTGCGTGCCAGGCTGCTACAACAACTCGCACCGGGACAAGGCGCTGCACTTCTACACGTTTCCCAAGGACGCTGAGTTGCGGCGCCTCTGGCTCAAGAATGTGTCCCGTGCCGGCGTCAGTGGGTGCTTCTCCACCTTCCAGCCCACCACGGGCCACCGTCTCTGCAGCGTTCACTTCCAGGGCGGCCGCAAGACCTACACGGTGCGCGTCCCCACCATTTTCCCGCTGCGCGGCGTCAATGAGCGCAAAGTAGCGCGCAGACCCGCGGGGGCCGCGGCCGCCCGCCGCCGGCAGCAGCAGCAACAGCAGCAGCAGCAACAGCAACAGCAGCAGCAGCAGTCGCAGCAGTCGTCGCCGTCCACCTCCACTGCCCAGACCGCCCAGCTGCAGCCTAACCTGGTGTCTGCCTCCGCGGCCGTGCTCCTCACCCTTCAGGCCGCTGTAGACAGCAGTCAGGCTCCGGGATCCGTGCCACCAGCGCCCACCACTCCCACCGGAGAAGACGTGAAACCCATCGACCTTACAGTGCAAGTGGAGTTCGCAGCCGCAGAGGGCGCAGCCGCCGCGGCCGCCGCTTCGGAGCTGCAGGCTGCTACGGCCGGGCTGGAGGCCGCTGAATGCCCTATGGGCCCCCAGTTGGTGGTGGTAGGGGAAGAAGGCTTCCCTGATACTGGCTCCGACCACTCGTACTCATTGTCGTCAGGCACCACGGAGGAGGAGCTCCTGCGCAAGCTGAATGAGCAGCGGGACATCCTGGCACTGATGGAAGTGAAGATGAAAGAGATGAAGGGCAGCATCCGCCACCTGCGTCTCACCGAGGCCAAGCTGCGCGAAGAACTGCGCGAGAAGGATCGGCTGCTTGCCATGGCTGTCATCCGCAAAAAACACGGAATGTGAATGGGTCCCCCTGCGGCCTGCAGGACTCGTGGACCCCTTCCAGCCCAGGGGAACCTCAGGCCGCTATTGAAGTCCTGTATACTCCTGGGACACTGGTTGACAGTACTGAGGCTTAAGGCAGCTGGACTCTTGCTGGTGATCTGGCACCCTCACTTGTTTCCTCCTGAAGCAGGACTGGGGCCTCAGACTCTGCACTGGTGACACCAGCAATTATGACTTTGGCCACCCTTCCTCCCCAGTTTATGTTGCAGATTCTGGTTAAGCAGAGGCTTCAGAACCACTGAACTTGAAACTTACCCCCTAGGGATGCAGGTGGGATGCCCAGGAACTATGGGTTTGGGAAAGCCACACCTTAAGGTTGGCAAGCAATCAGAGAGAACTCTTCTCTGTGTAGTGATAAGAGATCCAAGTAACACCGGTTATCCTCCTTTTCATGTTTTTCCTTCCCAGGTGCAGCCTTTGATTCTGATGGGGACTGGTAGACCTGTGCCTCTGCCTCCTGGGACCTTCCTCCCCTGGGGGCCATTTATGAGTGGGTCTGGGTAACCTGCTGATGGAGAGCCAGCTTGCCAGGGACTTAGGTTTATCCTGTTTTGTTTGCTACTGGTTACAAATTCTATTTTCTGTACAATTAGTCAGACTAAAGTTTTCACTGTGTTTGTTTGGCAAAACAAATTAAACAAAAAATAAGGTTTTTATTTGGGTTTTGCTATTTTATTTTTACAAAAACTTAGCTGAAATGTCCTTAATACCTGGAGAAATAGGCCTCAGCCTATTTGAAAGATCTGGCTGACCCTGAAAGTAGAGATGCTTCAATGACCAGATTTTTCTGTAACGGGCCCCCTACGCATATGGATCCTGTCTTTAAAAGGTCCTCAGAGTTCTGGCCCAACTTACCCTAAAGAATTTGGAAACTGCACCAAATGGTCCCAGTTTGTCAATGGGTTATCTTCCTGTGTCCTTCCAACAAGGAAGAACAACTGAGAACTACGCTGAATTGTGATACCTCACCTCTGAGGGTTTGAATTCCCTCTTGAATTCTCAGCTGAGGTTGAATTTTGCTAACCCTTACATCCCTTAGGCCTAGCAACAGCATCTGGTACACATGTGCTTGTAGTTCCTTAATAAACCAGTGAAGACCACAGCTGGAGCCAGCCATGGCTTCTTCAGGCACAAAGACTCTTGTACAGAAACCTTAACCTTGGTACACCTTCAGTATGAAGGAGTTGGATCCTTGGCATTAAGGAGTTGGGATTTGTGACTCTGGCTCATTTTCTTGGCTGCCTCTATTTTTCTTTAGATCAGATGTTGGAGAGGTGAGGGTGACATTTTTGTCTATAGTTCCAAGTAATTTAGCTCAAAGCCAATGGGGAGAGGCACATGCTTTAAAGTGATGGGTTTTCTATGAGTATTGAGGCACAAATAGACACTTCTCAGGTTCCATAAAATATAACTCCCTTCACTGTATTATAGGGACAAAGCCTTGCATGGGGACTTGCCCTGAAGCAGTGAGCTGGTATGGTTCTTAAACTCTTATGTGTTTCCCTTCTGGTCCCTTGGCACTGAGTTGGGGAACAAGTCTCTAGTAGGGAAGGAGGGATGATGTGCCATAAGTTGTGTAGGTGCCTGGCTGGAGGAAAAGTTGGATCTCTGCCTTCCTAGGTTAGCACTGGTTGGTAATCAGGTGGTGGAAGCATACCAGTGCCCTTTGTGTGCCCATTTTGGGTCAATCTCTCACATGTTCCCGCTCTCCTTCATTGGAGTGAAGGCTTTTCCAGGTTCTACCCATGCTCTTTAATGTATCCTTGAGCTCCTATTTGTTGAAGGAACTTCTGCTGGTTCTGCTTTGGCCCCCTTGAACCTCTCAGCAGAATCCTAGGGCTCTCCCTGGTGTGTGGAGGTTATGTGTACATACCTGTCCAGTGTTTTGGCTTCTTAGGGAGAGGAGGCTAGTTCACAGAGCAAGGGAGGTCCCAGATGCTGATGCATCATAAGTAGGGCAATGCAGAGTTCTCACTGGCTGAGTAATAATAGAAGTATCTAGTCAGGCAAAATGTAGAGTGGACAGACCTGGGATTTAATAAACAGAAGCCAGGCCTGGTCTTCCCAGCCATCCCCAAGAGGGGTGGGGTGGCATGGGAGCGGGCAAAGGTGTGAAAACTCTTCTGGAAAAATTGGAGTGCTGAGTGATCTCTGGCCAGGAGGGAATGCTAGGAGCTGCCTAAAGAAGACCTTTAGCCATTTCCCTTATCGGTGGTCCTCTAGGTTGGCTGCAGAGCCCTTTGCCCAACACTGGCCTAACCTAGAGACAGGTCTTACTTCAAATGTTTGCATTACCAAGGAACCAATGAAATGGGCATTGAAAGGAAGGGTAATGGGCGGGAGGACTATTTATAATCTGGTCACTTAAATCACAGGGAAATTTGGGGTGAGCCAACTATTTCTCTTTTCTCGCATTAGTAAAAATGAAACTTATAGCTGCCCTATCTGCTGCCAAAAAACCTTATGAGAATGTTCTGGAGACCCCTAACTGTACAAGTATGAGAGTAACCTCTTCAGCCAAGCCTCACCTGAGGGGCCTTAGAGTCTCGAGCCCAGCCTGCTGGAAACCAGCTCTGGGCCTGACTGGCTGTGGGGCAGGGCGCACGAATGTTGGGAGAGATGAGCTATGGATTCTGCCTTAGGGATTCAAATAGCCCAGGAGGCAGCCAAAGCTCCAAAGGGGAGGGGGCTTCGCCAGCGGAAACAGCCCAGGGGCCCAGGGAGGGGCGGCTGGGCCAGCTTGGGGCCAGGCCGGGCTCCCACAGGGGCGGGGCCAACCCCCACTAGCACACAGCCTGGGCGGGGCTGGGCCAGCTGGGACCAGGCGACAACTAAGCCCTGACCCTTGCCTGGCGCCAACCTCCACTGTTCCAGAGGCTTCCGCTAGACCACAATTCTCAGGGGCTCGCCCCGGCAGCCTCCCTCCTCGGCTTAGCCTCACCTCCCGCGCTGTGGGCCGTGTCTGGGCCTCCGCGCTTAGCACACTGGGAAATGTAGTTTTCTTCCGGCACACTTGTGCCAGAAAGGGGATCGGTGGGACTGCGCCTCCCAGAGTGCAACGGGGCGGACGAGGGAAGGCAGGGGGGAAGGGACAGTCGGTCGCAGACCGCGCTGGGTTGCCGCCGCCGCTGCCGCCATCGTGCCAGCCCCTCGGGTGAGTGTCGATGCCAGCACGCCGGGGCGGGGGCTGGGCCGCAGGAGCCGCTTTCCAGGCCGCTCGGAGGCTCCGCTGAAAGTCTCCGGCGGCCCCTCCCATCCCCACCCCAGCGGCCCGAAGCCGCGCGGGGCCCGGGCCATGTGTCGCGCGCAGCTCCGCCTCCCGCCGGTCCTCTGAGGCGGCGGCCGTGGGGAACGCAAAGAGAGCCAGCCAGGCGCCTATCCGGGAGGTACCATGCCCATGGCTGGTGCACCTTACTGCGCCATGGCCGGGCATTTTTCTGTGGTCGGGATCATCCGGATGGGGCTTTCAGGGCCCCGCCCCGTCTGGCCTGGCCCGGCCTGCTCGAGTCCGGCAAGCTCTGCAGGCAGACTAGCGGGCAGACCCCAGCCCCACGTCCTGCCACCGGCCTGCGAAGGATCCCGGGATGGGCAGCGCCACCCGGCCCGCTCCAGAGTCAGCATGGGTAAGGGCGCCCGCCTGCCACAGCCGGGGCTTGGGACCCTTACCCGGTTCCTGTCCATAGCCCGGCTAGGGTGTAGGTGAACGCTCCCCTGCTTGTCTGCCTGCTGGGAGTGCACGAAACCTACCGCTTCCTCGGTGGAACCTATGCTATGGTTCTCCTGCTTGGGAGGGCAGGGGCAGGGAATCGGGCGGGAGGGGGTTCCACGTGGGACTTTTTAGCTCTGGCCAGCCTTGGAGGATCTGGACCTGATTTGGTGAGGCGGCTCCAGGCTGGTAGGCCCAGCCTCCTCCCTTCTCTATCAGTGACCAGGCCCCAACTCTGGGTGGATCTGCTGGCTGGGTGTGTTAGTGGAGGAAAACGAAGAAGGTGAGGTTGAATGTGGGAGCCTACAGGGCACAGCCTAACCTTCATATCTGGTCCTCCCAGAGGCAGCATTAGAATTACCCCACAGTAATGGATGATTCCATAAGAATGGGGTGATAAAGTGGGACCTAATGCAGGGGGAAGTAGAATCCAGGCTTGAGGCCCATGATCCCAGTGCCAAACGAGGTGTTGCTGCAATGGGCTTTGGCGATGTGGCACATTTGAGCTGTAGGGCTCAGGTTCAGAGTTTGGGGTCCTTCTGTAGCTTGGGTGGCAGAACTAGGACTAGAAGCTGCAGAAAGTCAGGGTTCTCATCAGTTGCTTCTCACATCCCAACAGCTGAAGCTGCCTATGAACAGGCAGGAAGCTGGTTGTGCCTCACGAAATTGCCCTTAAAGATTACACTAGAGACCCCATTGAGTTGTGGGACAAGAGTCATATCTAGCCAGAGAGTATTATCCTGACTGGCTTTGTAAAGCCACCTCTGATTGACTGATGATAAATTTAGGAACCAGTCCTGAGAAGACCCTGGGAGTTGGGGGAGAGAGAGCTTGTCAAGCCCTTTTTTTTTTTCCTCCCTTGAGTATTTTCTCCGATAATGTCTTTTTGGTCTTCATGCTCTTGACTTGGAAGTTTTCCCGCATTTGAATTGCTCTGCCTAGTCATTCTTGCTGGTCAAGAAGAACAGGCAAGGATGTTGCTCACATCTCGCCAGGGGCTGCCTTCTATCTGGACTCAACTCTCTTAGTCCACATACTGGCCCATGGGAACGTGAAAGTCAGGTTCGTCCAGCAGGTTCAGGAGAGACCCAGTTTGCCAGTGGAGGTGGGCAATAAGGAGGGACTACCCACAGTACACATACAGGGTCAGTGAGGTGGAATCTCTTAGAACTAGAAGCAGTTATTTCAAGACCCTCTCTAGATTGTCTGATTGGTACTTCCAGAGACACAGGTTTCAGATGGACTAGGATTATGGCTGTGGATTAGTTTGCATATCTCAAGGTCCTAGGTGGCTTGACCACAGGGTTTCCTTCAGAATCAAAAAGATATACTGTTCCTTCTTCAAGGTTACCCAAGAGTAGGAGGAATTCAGATGCCTCCCTCTCATTCCAACCTCCAGAAGTTCCCAGTAACTTCTTTGTCTGGGATCTGCTAGGCATCCCGACCCTGAGAAGCCCTTCACCTTTCTGGAACTTGGCAGGCCATCTAGGTCTCAGAGATAAGGAGAAAACCATGAGGTTCTCCAGGACTTATCTGTGCCCTCTATTCACGTAGGGCTAACTTGGAAGTAGGGCCTGACAAGGGGTAGTTGGGATATGGCTATACAAGCATGGGCAGGGTGTCAGGATGCTTGAGTTCTCAAGCAGCTCACAGTTGGGTCCCTTAGTGATGAGAAGCCCACTTCTCTCTGAGCCACATCTTGCTTTATTCTGCTGTCTTTGCAGTTGGTGGGTTGGGAGAGGATGAATGATTTAAGAGAGACACAGAATTCTCTAGAACTGGAAGCCACCTTGTATTAGTCCCTTAATGAGGCATTAGTATCTTGCTTGAAATTATTGTTTTCTCCTTTCTTGCCAATGACTAATTTTACTCAACAGCCATTTTTGGGCCTTCTCTGTGTGTCAGGCTCTGGGCTGAGGCTGGAGGTAGAAAAATGAATCCTGTCTAGTCTTGGTGCTGGGGAAAGGAGGTCACAGTAGTGGGGATGGTGGGTTGTTAAGGGCTAAGTTGAAGGGACCTATACAAGGGCTCTTAATCCTCTGCAGAAGAGGGGGCTTCTGAATTATTAGAGCACCAAAGAGAAAAAGCTGCTGTTAGTGGGCCCACCCTCCTTTGCAGTGACTGGCAGGAACCCTAAAGGAAGTATATCTCCAGATTATGGGCACAGGACAGTCTGGGGTCCCGTGAGTGAGGCTGTCAGCTGCTTCAAATTGCTGTGGCTGATGAGTCTAGCTGCTGGCTTCTAGGGCCTGCTTCTCCTGAGTTTCCCAGGGGTCTCTGCTAGGTGTTCTCACAGTGCCTGGGACTCTCACCAGCATTTTGTTGTCTGTGGCCTTCTAATCCCCTGTCTGTAGCATGGGTTTGTGTCTTCTGTCTCTTTCACTAAGAGGCTTCTGTGATCACCTTTATTCAAGTGCCCAATAGTTGTTCCTTGAGTGGTATATCAGGGCATCTTCCTAGGTTGCCAGATGGAGGAACCTTCCCCAGAGATGAAAGATTCAGCAGCAAGGCTCCTTGGGTCTTCCTCCAACAGATGGCCTTGCCTAGGGGGTTACAAAGAGGGACAGGAACCACCAGGAACTTTGGAAATGCCAATACTGTTTTGTTTATTTATTTTATTTTTTAAAAAATATGGAACGCTTCACGAATTTGCGTGTCATCCTTGTGCAGGGGCCATGCTAATCTTCTCTGTATCAATCCAATTTTAGTATATGTGCTGCCGAAGAGAGCATTGTTCGTTTTATTTTTTATCATTATTATTTATTTTTTAGAGACAGTCAGTCTCTCTCTCTCTCTGTCTCTGTCTCTCTCTCTCTCTCTCTCTCTCTTTCTCTCTCTCTTTCTCTCTCTGTGTGTCTCTCTCTGTCTCTGTCTCTCTCACTGAGGCTGGAGTACAGTGGCATGATCATATACCTCATTGGAACTTGGAACCCCTGGACTGAAGTGGTCTCCTGCCCTTAGCCTCCTGAGTAGTTGGGACTACAGACACACCACCATACCTGGCTAATTAAAAAAAAATTTTTGTAACAGGGTGTCGCTGTTGTCCAGGGTGGTCTCAAGCTCCTGGCCTGAAGCAATCCTCCTTCCTCAGCCTCCCAAAGTGTTGGGAGCCACCGCGCCCGTCAATACAGCTTGTTTTAGAATCCAAGTCAGCCCATCCTCATTGAGGCCTCCAGGACAGAGGAGTAGTCCTTCTGGGGCAAAGGGAATGAATTTAAATTTTCCACTGGGTGAACGTTGAAAGTGAGGCAGCATTTCCTTGGGCTGGGGTTGAGCTGAATGTTGTGCTGGACTTTTTTGTTTTTTTAAGTTAACATTTTCTGATGGGCCATTTGAGGATGATATTTGTGTGTCTGGAGTTCAGTTTGAGTTGGCTGCCCCTGCCTCAGCTTTGAGATTCTGTGATTCTCTTCCCTTGACCATATGTGGCAGGAATTCTTCTATTCCTCCCTGAGGGAGGCACCAGTATATAGATTATCCCTAGAGTGACTTCAGGCTGTGTGATATGATCGTTCTGGTCAGTACCCTTGCCACTAAACTGGTATGGCACCCTCTGCCTTCTCACCCTGTCAGCTGGAGTGTGTCTTCCTGGGCAGAATGCTTTGCTCAGGCCTTGCTGTGGCTGGGAAAATGTCTTAGTGGCCAAGGAAGAAGTTCACGAAGGCCAGGGGGGCCCTGCTCTGTGGCCCCTGGGCTCCTACTGCCAGCTGACCTATGACCGAGAACGTCCTTTCACTGTCCTGGGTGTTACTCCTTACTTGTTGCTAGTACCTGCTGTATGCCAACTCCTTCAGACCCCAGGCTGGAGACAGGAGGAATGGAGACCCTCCCACATGAGAGATGTCTGGGGTCCCTGGAAACAGAGGGTTGTTTGCCTGAGTATTCTTAGAAAACTGGCAATTCCAGAATGTTTGTTTCTTAAAGCCTGAGATACTCCATTGGAACCACTGGGTCTCACCAGCACAGAAACTGGAAAGCGTGCTGCCCTAGGGAGGGAACTCTGTGGAATTGTTTCTACTTGCAGGTGGTTTCAAGGCTAGGAGGGTGCAAGTTCTCAGTCATTTCTATGGTGGAAACCTGCTTTGACCTGCAGAGTACGTACTCATGTATCTATCCCCCATCCTGCATGGAGCTTGCTGATTTCCAAGGCAAACGAAAGGCCTGGGCTCCATTCCTTGTCATCTGGTTTTGCCACCTATGTGCTTTCTGCTGCCTTACATTGGCTCTCAGCTATTCCAATCTTGGCCAATTTCATGGACATTCTAATGTTATGCCGGTGGCCTTGTGTGCTCTTTTTTTTTTTTCCCCCGCCGCCGCCGCCTCTTCCTTGTGTGCTCTTGAATTCTTCCTTAACCTCTTAAGAGTCTCTGTTTCCTCATCTACAAAGTGAATGTATTCATACCAGCTTTACAGGTCCTGTTGTGAGGCTCAAGTAAGAACACACGAGAGTGACTTACAGGCGGCATTCCCTCCAGCGCCCTGTGGGCTCCACAGTCATCCCTTTATTCCCTGCTCTTCTGTCTTAGGGTGTCACAGCAGTGTTGGCCAGGCCACAGGAGTGGTCACTTAGGGGTCTCAGGTCCCTCTAGGGGAGCCAAGTCCATGTGTACCTGACTGGCAAGTTCATGTCCTGAGGCTCAATTCATGGATGGGAGCTGTTCAGAGGGACTGGGACCCCAAAGGTCTCCTGAGCCACCTGGGAAAGGGAGGTTATGCAGGGACTAATTACAGAGCAGGGAGCCCAGAATGCAGGGCTCGGGATTCAGCTTCTGACAGTTGGAGCAGCATGGGGGCTCTAGAGCCCTCCCTCCGGGTAGAAGACGAGGAAAGGACCATTGACTCCTTTAAGTTGGGGGCACTTAAACCTCAGGTCTCAGCCCCAGGAAAGGTTTATTTCTTGGCCAGCCATCTGGGCTGAATTCAGGCATGGCAGTGGTGGGCCAGGCAGTTTCCATCCCTGGATCTAGGCCTGCTCCGTGGTGTGGCCTCCCTGCAGGGGCTGAAGTACCTACCTTCTTCCCAGCTGTCGCCCTGGTATTTACCTAGAAACTAATGATAAGTTCTTGAAGCCGGTCCTACTTCGTATCCTATCCTAACATCCCACAGTTACTGATGAGTAGCCAGAGCCAGAGGGTCACTCCCTAAGGGAGAGGTAGAGCAGGCTGGAGGCCAGGTCTTTGAGGGTGTGGCTGTGTGACTGCTCTCTAGTCACAGCTGCCCCTTGGGTGACCAGGACTTGGGAGTGGGAGGGGTTTGGGCCCAAGCCACAGACAGTAGCTGGGTGAATGGCAAAGAATTGTTTCCTGACAACTTGGACAGAAGGTGTGGGTGGTGGGGAAGTGGGTCACTGGGCCACTTAAATTAAGCGGGGTTTACCCATAACTCACTTCTCCTCCAGAGAAGGGCTAGTCTCTCAGCCCAGGCACCTGTGTACTTTGTCACCAAACAATTATTGAGGGCTGGACCATGGGCATAGGGGTGATTGGGGGCCCTGGTCAGGGAGACAGGCAGTAAACAAATAGCTAAGTGTGACAACTCATGCAGTGGTATGTGCTAAGAAAACGATACAAGAGGCGACATGAATAACGAGACAGCTACTTTAGACTGATCAGGGAAGGTGTCTGTGGGGAGTTGACATTTGAGCTGACACAAGTGACAAGGCGCCAGACACATGACAGTCTAGTGGGGAGAATGATTCAGGTAGAAGGTGCAGCAGTTGCAAAGTCCTCTGGTGAGAACAAGCTCAACATGTTCCAGAAAGAGGAAAATGCCCAGTGTGGGTGCAGAGGAGGGAAGGAAGTGGGCGGCAAATGATGATTTTGGACAGCCAGGAAGGCCAGGTCTCCCAGGGCCTTGAAGACAGTAAAGTAGCTGAGACTGTTCCAGGTGCCATGGGAAGTCACTGGAGGGCTGAGGGGAGGGACAGCTTTTTTCTGAAGGACAAGCACCGTGCATTGCCTTCCTGTCTTTGGTTGCTGCTGCCCTTTTCCCCTGTACCCCCACAAGATACTTCTGTGCTCTTGGGTTTAAGCCACATGGGCTGTCTGTCCCACCTGTTGGAGGAGTCCTTCCCAGGGCTATGTTTGGGGCCTGGCAGGTAGTAGGTGTAAAGGGACTTGGCCACAGCAGGACCCCACTGTGGTCTAGGCACACCTGCTGGCATTCCCCACAGACTTCCGTGAGGGCCCTCAAACATGAGCATCTTTCTGTGTGCCCAACTGAAAGGAGTGACGTCGTCTTCCCCATCACTATTCTGCTCCCGAGCTGCCCCAGGTCCAGGTAGGCCAGGATCTGTCTCTGCTTTACTGACATGATAGAACAGGGTTGTGACTGAAAGTTTGGGAAAACTGTGAGGTCATAGCTTTCATCCTTCATGAAAATGCCTGTTGTTTGGGCTCTGGGTTTGACGTGGAACTCTTCCACTTGATGCCTCTATTTAGCGGCAGAAGCCCTGAATCAGGACCACCTTGCCCCCCTCCGAGAGAGCCAAGCTTAGAGGTTGGAGCTTCAGCCCTGTGTGCCCAGGAGCCCTCACTGATGGGGTCTGTTACTTTTATCTCCAGACCCAGGTCGTCTCTGGGAGTCCTGGCTCTGGATCCACCACACCTGGTCAGTCCAATTCCACCATTTATCAGCTGCCATCCTTGAGCAAGTTGGAATTGGCCAACCTCTCTGAGTCTCATTTTACTCATCTCTAACACGGGTGTTGACTCACAGTGAACAAACGCACATAAAGCTCTTTGTACATTTCTGTACCTAATATGCATTCGTGAAAATGAGATGTTCTCAGCCAGACACTGCTGTTTTGAATTTGGAAGTTTTTCTGTTGTCTAATGAGATCTCCTGAGCTAGAAGTTTTAACCTTGGGTCTATGACTGAACCTTAAGGAGTCTGAACAACCTGAAATTATTCGTCAGACTGGGGCATCTCTGCCTCTGTGCAAATGTACTGGGAGAGAGCCACAGTTTCTGAGACATTCTTAGAGGGTCTTTGCACCCACAGAGACCTAAAGGTCAGTGGAGGCTGATGCTCAGTGGGCGAGAGGTCACCGAGGTCTTTTCTGCTCCTCGAGGAGCCTGGCCTCAGTCAGCCTGCGGACTGTTGGGGTGAAGCAGGAGATGGCGTGGTCAGCGGCGCTCAGAAGAGCTGTAGGAGAAGCCGTCGTGATGAAGGTCAGTCGCTAATCCGATGTGAGGCTGCCCCTGAGCCTTGGCATTTTGTTTCTTTCTAGGCTGCTTCCACGGTAAATGTGTTAGAAACAAGTTTAGGGCTTGCCGGCCATTCTGGGGAACATCTTCCCAGCCTGGCCTGTCCCCATCCCCTGTACTGCATGGGGACAGGAGGGGGGCTGTGCACTCTGCTTCTTTTTTTGGACTCAGGAATGCTGCCTCCCAGCCATGAGTTTAAAGCTTTGTGGGAGGTTTGGCGTCAGAAACTATAAATTCTGTAGTTTGCTGTGCCACATTCTATGCTGGGAGATGGGGGGAGTGTGTGTGTGTGTGGCATGAACAACACCAGAACCTTCACAGCCCAGAGCCACAGTGCTCTCAGGCAAAGGAGTAGGGCCTGGGTGTGTTGATAGAGTGTGCTTAGAGGGGTGGGGTCGCCATTTGAGTCTGAGGAGTCCCAAGTAGATGGGGTCTGAACGTAGACTTTGAGGAAGAACAAGAACCGACCAGGCAGATGAGAGGAAGGAGGATGTCCCACCAGGGGGACTCACCTGTTCAGAAATCACAGTGAGCAAGCTCTTGTCGAGTTCTGGTGTGTCTGTGTGTAGAGCTGGATCGAGGTAGGAGAACATGGCTGGAGAGATGGGGACAAGTGTGGATGGCCACCTGCAGAGCCGAGGGGGTTCGGCCTTTAACCCAAAGGTGAGGGTATTGTAGGGGAGGGATATGGCCAGCTTTGTGGTTTACAGTGATGCAAAGTTAGCAGAAAGCAAGCACTGGCCTCAGAGAGAGGACCCGGTGTCAGCAGTGATGAACTGGATGACAGTGGAGTCTGACCACATGGCAGTTGTGATCACTACATGGAAATAACATATTAAGGTCAAGCAGGCCTCGATCCATGTAGTTTTGAAGGTTCCTCCTCATGTTTCCTGGGAGCCCCTAAACTGTCCTGTTCCTCGGAGCTAACTCTGCCCCACCAGGCCAGAGGGCCCTTCTGTTCCTCTGTCCCTCCACCTCACTTATCCCTGCCACTACTTCAGCCAAGTACTTTTAGCATTAGAAAGTTATCACACCACGAAGAACAATATTGAAAAAGGACAAAACACGCCCCGTACTTCCTCCGTCCCCCCATGTGATGGCACTTTTCTCCTCTTTGGGTCAACTTCCAGCCTTAGTTTCCCTCACCTTTCAACTCTAGCTTCCTGGTTTCCGGCCATGATCTCTTTTCATGTCCCCTAGACACTTGCTGATGCTGCTTCTCCTGATTGGCGTACTCTTTTTCCAAGACCTTCCCTGAGGCCGGGCATGGTGGCTCACGCCTGTAATCCTAGCACTCTGGGAGGCTGAGGCGGGCGGATTGCTTGAGGTCAGGAGTTCGAAACCAGCCTGACCAAGACCAAGACCCCGTCTCTACTGTAAACAGAAAGAAATTAATTGGCCAACTAATATATATAGAAAAAATTAGCTAGGCATGGTGGTGCATGCCTGTAGTCCCAGCTACTTGGGAGGCTGAAGCAGAAGGATTGCTTGAGCCCAGGAGTTTGAGGTTGCTGTGAGCTAGGCTGACGCCACAGCACTCACTCTAGCCTGGGCAACAAAAAAAAAAAAAAGACCTTCCCTGAGAGCTGCCCAACCTTGCTGTAGGCCAAGGGCAAAGGGACAGTTGGCCGTCATGCAGTCCTCCAGCTTCTCCCCTGCCCCCAGAACTGGGGGGAAGTGGGGCCGAAGCACTGAGTGAGCTAAGCATAGCAGTGGTAGGGTGCAGGGGCCAGGATGCAGGGGTATGGAGCTGTGCTCTGCCTCAGGAACACCAGGTTTGTGTGTGAATACAGCCACAGTCGGACTCCTTGGCAATGCGACTAAGACAGCTGCTGAGACTAGGTGTGATCCCGAGCTTTTCTCCACTTGTTGATTTGTTTTTTGGCAGAATGTGAACTAGGACAAATCTTGTGTTCCTGTGTAGCAGGTGTGGCTGGATCCAAGCTTTCTCCTCTGCTTGCTTTAGACTTTCCTGGACATTTCCTAGTCATCCCAGCACTGAGCTTCTATTTTTAGTGCCACTACCCCCTAGGAGACCAAAAATAAAGCTGGCTTAGCTTCCTGGCTCCTCATTGGCTAGAGTGGAGTCACAGGGTAGGGGACTGCCTGCATTGTCACTGTTCCCCTATACAGTCCCTCCCTGCTGGTTCCTTGGGCCTTGGATGAGGTCACTGGGACTGGAATGAGCTAGCACTCACCATGTTGAGCTGAGGGCTTTACCACATTCCCTTTGTGAAATTTCTACAGCCACCAGCAATGTCAGGGTTACCCATCCCTGTCTTACATAGGAGGAGGCTAAGGCCCTAAGAAGGGCAGTGACTTTCATCAGATCCCACCACTGCGAATGGTTGTCTACTTGACCTCCTCCCTGCTTGGGTTCAGAGCCTTATTATCAGGACGTGGGAGTGGGCTCCTTTATAGTCAGAGATAGCTATAGAACAACACATAGGTCTGTAGTCATGGGATCTGCAGTGAGATGTGGACTCTGCTGCCATGGAGGAGCCTAGCAGAGCCAGAGTGGCTCTCAGCTGGGGATTGGGTTTTCCATCCAGCATCCTTGGGGCCATGATCTCTAGTTGGGAGGGGGACTCCCCTCCCTCTCAGTGACCCAAGAGAGGCAGTCCTGTGGGATGAAGGTAATGCTGGCATGGGGAGAGATAAAGAGATATGTTTTCCCCTTGTAGCCTCCATTTCCCCCTTTCCCACGCCCCTCACTTCTATCTGATCCCTCTGAACTCGTATCCCCACTCTGAAGTATGTAGGGATCAGCCCCATCAATAAAGAAACATCCTAGGAAAGGCCAGGGCAGCTATCACCTGGCCTCAGATGTAAACTACCCCCATGAGACTGAGAGCGTCACTTGCTATTTTTGTTAGAAGTAGGACCTTGAGGGGCCATTGCCCCTCACCATCACTGGGTCTTCTTCCACTTGCCAGCAAAGTCCTGGGACAGTGTTGGGACCTGAGGGCTGCAATAGAAAGCATGCCACACGTAGACATCAGTAGCTCCTGCCCTGTAATGTGGGGAGAGTGTTAATAATTGTGGCCTTGCAGGTTGTTGAGGATTGAATGAGAAAATATGGGGGCAGTGCTTAGCTCCTCCTACAAGCCCTCCTCTCCTTATTGGACACAAAAGGGCCTACTCTGACCTTCCTTGTGAAGCACACCTCTACCGTGTGCTTTACAACCCTGGCACCCTTCTGTCTCATCAACCAGGAGCTCCTCAAAGGAAAGGCTGAGTCTGGTCCACCTCTGGGCTCCCAGCACTGGTCTGGCTTGGGAGGGGTCTGCTATCAGTTCCTCAGGGCCTCTCCATGTACCCTGAGGGAACAGACCTCAGCAAAGGACTCCCTGCTCCAGGAGACCAGGGAGGGGTTGGGGGATCAGTGACTAGTCATCTCCTGCTCTTGCAGTACCAATACTTCCCTCTCTGTCTTGTTGGTCTTGCAGGTCTCAACGAGGCTGGGTGACACTCCAAAATGGGAGACAAGCCAATTTGGGAGCAGATTGGATCCAGCTTCATTCAACATTACTACCAGTTATTTGATAATGATAGAACTCAACTAGGCGCAATTTACGTAAGTCTCCAGCTTTAGGGCCAGAATAGGACCCCAGCGGATAGATTTGCATGTTGGGTCATTCCATCCAGTTCACAAATTCTGGCAGTCCTTGCTGGACTGGCTACACCTCTCTATCTGAATTTTGGTCCACGGGACAAGGGGGCCTGAGGCCTGGCCCAACTCCCTGGTCCATACTTTTACTTCAGTCATCTTCCATAAGGATGGGAATCCTGGGATTCTGTGCAGGGTGTTCTGGGCTTGCCATTGCATGTGGCCAGCATCTTGTCAGTGCACGTGGTCCTGGGAGTGCCTGATTGTATAGCAACAGGCAGAGGCTAGGGCTCTTGGTACCCTCTGGGGACAACTGCCATGAGCATCTTCAGTGCAAAGCCAAGCTCTCTGGAGGCGCCAGCTCCAGCTTCCTTTTGGGACCAAAAGCCCTGAATGCTCATGGGAAACAAATGGGGTTAACCCAGAAAGGCTGGTGTGTCCTTTGAGAAACTCTTCTATGCAGGCATTGTTTGCCGCTATTTTAATGATGTTCATATATATCAAGAACTACTTGTACTTGGCACTGCCTTAGATTTTGGTCACAGAAATGTGATTGATCTGGCAGGTCTGCCCAAGATGAGGGTGATAGGAGTCTTCTAAACGTAGCTGTAGAGCCTGGCTGGGCTGACTTAGGTCTTTTGTGTCTGCTTCCAAAAAGTCAGGAGTCCATTAAGAAATTCTGAAAAAAAAGAAAGGAATCTTACCAGTGGCAGACCAAATCCAACACAGATATTATTTGGTCATCATTATCATCGTAGAGAATTTTTAAAAACTTGAACTGATCTGGCTCTGGGGTCCTGGTACTTCTGCCTCATTGTCTCTTGTTTTTTCTTTTTTCTTTTTTGAGACAGAGTCTTGCATTGTTGCCCAGGCTAGAGTGAGTGCCGTGGCATCAGCCTAGCTCACAGCAACCTTAAACTCCTGGGCTCAAGCGATCCTACTGCCTCAGCCTCCCGAGTAGCTGGGACTACAGGCATGTGCCACCATGCCCGGCTAATTTTTTCTATATATATTAGTTGGCCAATTAATTTCTTTCTATTTACAGTAGAGAACGGGGTCTTGGTCTTGCTCAGGCTGGTTTCAAACTCCTGACCTTGAGCAATCCGCCCGACTCAGCCTCCCAGAGTGTTAGGATTACAGGCATGAGCCACCGTGCCTGGCCTTCATTGTCTCTTAATTAAGGCAGGCCTGACCCAGAGGAGTTAGCAAGGTCTTAAAAGAGCACTTTATGTTTATTGTTTCATAATCCTCAGCATATTACCCCTTTGAAAATTAGGAAACTGAGAATCAGAAATGTAAGTAACTTACCTAATGTCACAGCTCATAAGTAACAGAGGCCCTTTTGAATTCTGCCTCTGAAGGCTGTGGAAGGGTAGATTTGGGGGGTGCATGTGGAATTTTGACTCTTGGTAGTAGGGAGGTCCTACACTAGACCTTGGAAGGCCTTGTCAGCTTCCATCCCTCAATGACCCCATGGGTGCCCAGAACGCTGGTTCGAAGGGCTGCTGTGGCACTCAGCCTGGGTTGTGGAGATGGTGATGAACACATGGGATGTTTCCAAGTTCTTTCTGATGACTTCTCTGGGACTGATGCTGACTGATCATGCAATAGGATGGCTTTTGACTGATCCTTGGCCACATACGACCCTCTTGGGGCCTGTACATATCCGGGGCCATACGACTTCTTGAATACAAATGGGAAATGAACTTAATAAGTATATTTTATTAAATAATCTTTCAGAACTTGGGTCCATGGGACATGGGGTGTAATTAAAGAAGTTGTTCACAAATTAAAGTTTGGGAACTATATTCAGTCTTTTTACAGTCTGTGAAACTGAAGTGTGTACTCATTTCCCCAAGCAAGAGATCCTTTCTGAGTCTTTAATTATTATTATTATTATTTTATTTTTATTTTTGAGACAGTGTCTTACTCTATTGCCCATGCTGAAATACAGTGGCACTATCATAACTCATTGCAGCCTCCAACTCCTGAGCTTACGTGATCTTCCCACCTCAGCCTCCCGAGTGGCTGGAACTATAGGCACATACCACCATGCCTGGCTAATTTTTAAAATTTTTTTGTAGAGATGGGGTCTTGTGTTGCTCAGGCCAGTCTCACTCCTGGGCTCAAGTGATCCTCCCACCTCAGCTTCCCAAAGTGCTGGGATTACAGATGTGAACCACCATGCCCAGCCCCCTTTCAGAGTCTTTCCAGGATCTTAGAGATATTTCTTGTGCTCCGAAGCCCCAACACTTGGGTTCTATGTATTTTTCAGATTGACGCGTCATGCCTTACGTGGGAAGGACAGCAGTTCCAGGGGAAAGCTGCCATTGTGGAGAAGTTGTCTGTAAGTAAGGGCAAGAGCCAGGATGCAGGTGGCTTCTTCCCCACCCCTTCTGTCTTTAGTTAGTCCACCACCCACTCTTTCTCTTGCAGAGCCTTCCGTTCCAAAAAATCCAGCACAGCATTACGGCGCAGGACCATCAGCCTACGCCAGATAGCTGCATCATCAGCATGGTTGTGGGCCAGCTTAAGGTAACGGTGCTGTTGCAGTACAAGGGAGGAGTGGGCAGACAGAGCAGAGCCCTGAGCCCTTCCTTCCCTGTGGATGTTCCCTGTTTATCAAGGAACACCCAGACAAAGTGACTGTCTAGAGTTGTGTAGTTCAATACAGTAGCCATTAGCCCCCAGGTAGTAAGTTTTAAGTTATATTAATTAAAATTAAATAAAATTAAAATTGAGTTTCTCAGTTGTACTGGCCGTATTTCAAGTACTTATAGTCAGTCATATGTGGCTACCTATTAGCACAGATATAGAATGTTTCTGTGATTGCAGAAGTTCTAATGGAGAGCACTGGTCTAGAGCCTTTTTGGAAAAGGGACAAGAAGTATAGGGGCAGGATGGGGTTGTGGTGCCAAGCTACCGGGCCCCTGCGCTGTCCTACGGGATAGGTGGATAGGCTAGCCTGGATGCTGAGAGGCAGCTCCCTCGCGGAGGCCTTGCTGCCACTCCCCTAGCTGGCTGCTGGCTTCTTACCTGCTGAGCAAAGCGGATTCCTGGAACTCCTGCTGCTCTTGGCATTTTCCCTTTCCCTTCTCAAGATCTGTTATCCTCAAAGCCTTCCTGTGGCCCCTGAAACCCCCAGGAACTCTCCACAGGACTTGTTATGCTCTACCATATAAAGCCAGAGTCTCTGTTTTCAAAAAAACCCCCTTCTTTCCAAAGCAGGACACATTGGCTGCCCCTTGGTCAGCGGCATTGCTCTCCTGGGCTTGTGGCTCACAATAACAGGCTCATAGGCTTTCTTCCTAGGCTAGCCGGGGCAGGGCTACCTGAGTCCAGTATGGGTGTCGATGGAGGGCAACTCTAGGATTCTGCAGTGGACTCAGAGCCACCTGCCTTCTGGCCTAGACTTTTCTGTCAATTTCTCCTGCCTGTCCAAGATGCCCTGCCCAGAGCCTGTGCCTCAATAGGCACAGATTGACCAGGGAACTCAGTGTGCACTTTTCTCAGGCTAGGATAGGAAGCACTGTCCTTTCCACCTGGCTTTAGGTTCTTCCTTGTGTTTCTGTCCAATTTGGAGCTCCCAAATTTGTGATTTGCCTCCTTGCTGGTGATAAATTCCCAGAAAACAAGTGATGTTAGAGACAGTGCTGGTTAGCTGGGTTCCTGTTTCAAGTATGCCTCATCCTGGTTTTCTGCAGTTTGGCTGGAAGTTTTTTGCCTTTTTTCATTGTAAGTACTACACATTACATGACAGGAAACAGATCGCCAATGGTGATGCTGTGTCCTTCCCCCTACCACCACCATCATAGAGCTGTGATCACATTGTGAACTCAGTTTTGAGCCTTTCTCACATATTTGGCCACAGTCAGTATTAGCAGTAGTTTCTCCTGATTGGACTGACTGACGTTTTCAAACATTAACATTGTTTACAGTTTTTCCGATGGTTTAAGTTACTTGGTAATTACTATGGGATTCTTTCAAAATTTTAACCACTTGTGCCCAAAGATGTGTGCTTAGAGGCAGATATATCCTCTGCTCTGTTGCTAACTGGTGGATTGTTCTGCAGTTTCGGTGCACATAGCAGTGTGAGCTGCCATCTGCTGGCCCCTGTGTGCCCAGAACATTGTTTTATACATTGTATCAATTCACATTCATAAGTACCCTTTGGCTACACAGGGATTCCAGGCCAGGACAGTAAGGCTTGATCCAAAGTCCACGTTCTTTTGCCCTGTTCCCCTACCACCGAACTCCCTTCCTGTTCCTTGGCCCCCTTACTGAATCATTTTCTCTCTCCTCACAGGCCGATGAAGACCCTATCATGGGGTTCCACCAGATGTTCCTATTAAAGAACATCAACGATGCTTGGGTTTGCACCAATGACATGTTCAGGCTTGCCCTGCACAACTTCGGCTGACCTCTTCCTACCCAGGCACTCATGCTGTTTCCTCCTCCCTCCTCTTCTCAATACTATTCACACTCCTCCAGATGCTCCAAATATCATACACAAATGAGCAGGGCCGCGGTGGGAGTGGGTGCAGTGCGCTGCTGCCACCAAGGTGTTGTGCATGATGTTTGGACGCTAGACTAGTTGCATCTGACAGGAGAAGTTTGTGTTGTACCAGCGCATGCCTTGGAAAGACTTAAGTAATGCAAAAGGTTGTCCTTTTTTTTTTTTTTTAATCTACTGACAAGTTGCTCTAGTAACCCAAAGAAGTGAAGGAGAAAGCAGCTGCCTCACCGCCCAGATATTGATTTGTTCAGATGTTTCAATGCCTCATGATACAATAAAACCACGAAAATTTTCTTAACAGTTTAAATTGTTTTAATTAGTTTACTAGTTTGCTGGGCATTAGTAACTACTCTGACCCATTGTCTCTCATGTCTCATCCTCCCACCTCAGCCCTAACTCTACAATACCTGTTGCAAGGAGAAAACTGCTGAAGCAGCACTCCTCTGAAGCCCTGGAGGACAGAGTTCCCTCCCCAGCCCTCCTAGTCTTGGGAAAGCAGGCAGGGAGAGCTCAGATCTGGCCTGAAGCTTCTCTTGTAGCCTCTGCAGTCAGTTCTCATACCTCTCATGACCTATACCCTGAGTAAGTTCAGAGCTGTGTTAGAAGGAGAGAAGACACTGCTGAATCCTATTGAAGCTGGAGAGGCCTTGGCAAAAATGGCCCATCAAGTTCAGGCCCTGTGTGCTGAGGTCTCAGCAATATCAAGGGAGGGGCCTGCCCTATCCCCAGGGAGGTCAGGATCACATCTAGGATGCCCAACGTATCCCTTGCCAAGCAGAGGGCAGCTTAGATCCTGTGCCACCTACTTCAGATATCATTGCCTAAGGGCAGGTGCTCAGAAGAGCCAGTCTGTTTCCCATAGAGCCAGACAGTTGGGTTGTAGATTTGGAGCTATGAATGTGAGGGATTCATCCTGTAGGAGTTCTCACCCCTCAGACTTCTGCAGACATTTCCATGTCTCCTCCATTTCCTTAGTGCACACACTCCACACTGTCTTCAAATCCCAGGAAGTCTTAGTTATTAGGGTAGTTTCTATTTCTCAGTTATGGGAACAGAAGCCTAGCCCAGTACAAATCTAGCTCCTTAGCCCTGAGACCTGTGGATGGTGTAAACCAAGTTAGCAATTGCAGGCTAAAACCAAATCCAGGATTTGGGTCAGTGCCCTGTTAGGGGTTTTAGGATGGGTAAGGGCACCACAGCTAAGCCTGACCTATAAAAGGATTCCCTCCCCATGTCCACTATGGGTGGAGACTAAGGGCTTCCTCAGCCCCCACAGGTTGCCTGAGTACAGTGTGAGTGGTGCACTCTTTGAGGGGACAGCATGCTCAGGAGATTTCAGTGGGACTGATCTCTAGGCTGGTGTGTATTTGGGGAAGTGGGGGTGGGGGAGAGGTAGATACCTCCTGCCTCTTAAACCACCCTGTATAAAATCTGCAATACAGCTTCTTCCATGTACCTGTGCCTGAATTGTCTGCAATAAAAAGCAGTTTGTAAACTGTGGTTTCTTTCTTCCTACCTCAGGGTGCCAGGTGGGACAAGGGGATACTGGGGAACAGTAGGGAACAATGAGAGTTGTGGTGATACCATCTCCCCTACCCTTACAATTCCTGAGTTTTATGATTTTGTGGATCACCTGGGACCTTGGGTTACTCAAACCCATTTCCCAAATGGGAAACTGAGGTTCTTGCCAATTCAGCTTATTTCTGGGAATTGGAGGGACAACCTGGGCGGCTGAGTTGATCCCGTCCTAAGGCAACCAAGAGTCCACGCTCTGGGAGTGGGAATGGACCGGGCGGGATGTCCTGAGGCAAGCAAGGCTTTGGGCAGCCCAGTGGACATTTGCTCTGCCTCAGCTCTGTGGACCGGCCTGGCACAGGGGCGGGGCCGCGGAGAAGGACGGGCTCCGGGAGGGGTTTAGGCGTCCGTACCCAGCCCGGAACCTTTCTTCTGCGGCCTTTGCAGGTTCCGGGAGCCTGGGCTCTAGGGGGCCGGAAGTGGAGGCGGTTGGTGGGGTTGGCGGGGCTTAGGGACGCGTCGCGGGTGGCGGTTTGCGAACTGCGGGTGGACTGAGTGTAGTGACCGGCGTCCTGCTGTCTCGCCCCGTCGCGGCCGGGCTAGGCTGGACGGTGCGCGGCGGCAGCGGAACGAACGCGGTGCGGGCGGGGCGTCAGTGGCGGGGCCCATGGCCTCTTGCGCGAGCATCGACATCGAGGACGCCACGCAGCACCTGCGGGACATCCTCAAGCTGGACCGGCCGGCGGGGGGTGAGCGGGGACAACGGGGGGTGGGCCATCGACGAGCAGGCAGAAGGGTGGCGCGGGTCTGAACCGCCCTCAGGGCCCGCAGGTCCCTTAGGACCAGCTCTGGATCCTCCCGGATGATGAGGGCGGACGGGGGTCGGAGCGCTAGATCTCTGAGTGTACCCCTTCGAAGAGTGCAGACCCCTGGGTGTGAACCCTCCCCATCCAGGCGCCGAGTCGTTCTGCCTTGTCCTTCAGCGTTTCACCTGAAGGTGAGGCCCCTCCTCTGAATCTGCTGGATCCCTCTGGGTTCCTGGCCTCCAGGTCTCTAGTATTCCTGGGACTGGCCCGGCGCTCCTACCCTTTCGCCATGGTTCAGAGGCCCGGTCGAGCTCTGTATACCAAATTCCAGGTCTAGGCTTAAGCACTGGAGAGCTGCCGATCCCTCTCTATAACTTGCTCTTCCCTTTGGAATGCAGGCTACAGGCCTGCTGTTCTGAAACTGATTTCCAGGAGGAAAGTGTTCAGCCCCAATTCCTCCTCCTTTCTGGGAGGAAGGCACAGACTGCACCACTCTGGCTGAATTAGGCTACAAATAATCTGCAAGCCCTGATTTGTTCCATTCATTCATATTTTACTTGGGTTCCTGGTGATACCTCAGAACTGCTTTTGCCCTCAGAGAGCCCCCAGGACTCAGAGAGCTAACAGGGTTGTAATACAATGTTGTCACTGAAAGAGAGGAGTGTTTGGTACTGCAATGGGATGGGGAGGGTGGAGGCTGGTGAGTGCAGAGTACAGGTCTGGGAGATGAGACTATTTAGGCTAGGTCTCATAATATCAACAGGGGCATGGGTGTTATATGAATAGGCACCCAAGGCACCTGTGTAGAAGCTACCTATTATGAAGAGGAAATAGCACGTGTGAGGGCACTAGTTTATTGGCGGGTTCAGGGAACTGTGAAAAGTTGTGGTGGTTGAAGGGCTGTCTGGTGATGGTGGTATAGATGTGCAGTGTCCACCGCTGAGAACTGATGCTTCCTCAGACCTTGTTTTTATACCTGCTGGGAGGCCCAAACTGGCTGCTTCTGGAAGCAGGCATTGATGTTCACTCTAGGTGGATTTAGCTAACCCTTGCTCTCTGAGAAAATCTGTCAGCTACCTGAGACCACTGGACCCTTTGCCCCAAGCCTGGAACATGTGCTCCCTTTACTTTCCTGACCCTTCCCATGCCCCCCACCTCAAAGCACACAGACTTTCTCTGTGCTGACCCAGGCCTGAGTATTAACTGGCCTCACAGGGTCCCTCCCCCAGGTAGAGGAGCTTCATAGTCATTTTTGTTCCTGGTGTACATCAGTGTTTATGGAATGAGAGATGAACAAAGGGCCCTTCTCAGTCACAGACATGCTTTGCTCAGTTGAGTGTTTCTAGAGCACCTCCGAGTTGTGGAAGGAAACTCTGCAGGAGAAGCCGGTGGGCAGATAGAGCAACCTTGTCAGAGCAGCCCTCTCTGTCCCCAGGCCCCAGTGCAGAGAGCCCACGGCCATCCAACGCCTACAACGGGGACCTTAATGGGCTCCTGGTCCCAGACCCCCTCTGCTCAGGTGATGGTACCTCAACAAGCAAGGCTGGTCTCCGGACCATGCCGCCCATTAATCTGCAGGAGAAGCAGGTCATGTGAGTACCTGGGAGATGGCAGTGGTGGCAATGGTATCTTTGAGGCAGCTGCTTAGCTGAGGGCATGAGGTGGGGGTGAAATGGGCCAGCAGCCTCTGCTGCTCCCCATCTAGATGACTTGGGGTGAAGCACTTAACCAAATTGAGCTTGCACTAGGATGAGAGGCAAGGACAAGCTTAAGGGCTTGGCCAGAATACCTGGTTTAGAATGGAAGTAGGCTCATTCCCAAGGAGGGAGAGGAGTAAGGGGAGCTATGGGTCTGGGACCAGTGGCCAGGCAAAGCTGGGCATCTGGGACTAGACCCGCTCATCAGGGTGGCTGTGTCCTCTCCTCCTCCCAACCCTGCCCCATTGAGCCATTTGGTGAACAGGAGACAAAGTTTGTGCACCCTTTCGCTTAGCTGCCTCTCAGGAGATGACAGCTCCACCTGCATTGGGATTTTGGCCAAGGAGGTAGAGATTGTGGCCAGCAGTGACTCTAGCATTTCAAGCAAGGCCCGGGGGAGCAACAAGGTGGGTACAAGGTTGCTGTGGCATGTATAATGTATGGGGGCACACCCAGCCTCTCCCATGTCCCCCATGCTGCCAGTTCCTGTGGGGACCACCTTGACATGTAGGTCATATGCCCCAGTTTCAGGAAGCCAGGGTTGAGTGCCAAGCCTCTGTGGGAATCTGGCCCCAGGTGGTTTCACTGAGTAGCTGGGCTTGTACCTATGGCCTCTCCCATCCCCAGGGATGCTAGGGACCTCCTAGGCTCTGGGTAAGCTGCCCCAGCCCTCAGCTTCTGTGACTTTCCTATCCCTGGGTTCTCAGGTGAAAATCCAACCTGTCGCCAAGTACGACTGGGAGCAGAAGTACTACTATGGCAACCTGATTGCTGTCTCTAACTCCTTCTTGGCCTACGCCATTCGAGGTGAGTAGAGGCAGGGGAGATTAGGGAAGTGTTCTGCTAGAAGTCCCAGAGAGCCAGATCCGGCATCAGGCTCAGCCCACCTAGAGGTACAATGGAAGGCTTGTCCATGCTGCCCCAACCGCTGTCACGCCTTGGGGAGCTGGGTGGGAAAACTAAGCTTGAGACTATGGTGGTGGCGGTAAGATGGGCAAGGGCAGGGCTTCTCTCTTGCTGCCTGGGCTTGGATACTTGCTCAGGGCCCACTGCTTTCCTGATTCCAGCTGCCAACAATGGCTCAGCGATGGTGCGGGTGATCAGTGTCAGCACTTCGGAGCGGACCCTGCTCAAGGGCTTCACAGGCAGTGTGGCCGATCTGGCCTTTGCACATCTCAACTCTCCACAGCTGGCCTGCCTGGATGAGGCAGGCAACCTGTTTGTGTGGCGCTTGGCTCTGATTAATGGCAAAATTCAGTATCCATTCCGTGGTGTGGGGTGGGAGGACT